TTAGCAGGGAATTAGTTGTAAATACCACTTACCCTAACATCATGCCTGCCCTATTATCATCACTCACTGTGGTGTTTTGTGCTCTGTTAAGTTACATGTATGAGACTGGACAAACTGTAATTTGTGTTAGTGTTGCATTTCTTAACGTTCAAGAGTTCATTGATAATTCTTTGCTTTCTTATGGTAAAAGACTTGTCTTATGTGCAGAGTCTTTTGGGCTATAAATCAGCAAAACCGTTTAGGGTAAAAAAAAAAAGGTTACTTATATAACACCTAAGAGGAACAGATGAAATTCGGGAATTGTAGCTTGAAGTCAGCCTGAGGTAGCTGTGAGCAAACCCCATTACACTATCCTGCTATATTATACAATCTTCTAGTGTTGAGATGTTTAAAATTACCTGTTCATGTAACACTGATGTAAAAAGAACCACTTGACACCCTCCCCCTTATTTCTCTATAGTAAATGACAGTTACTTACACTCAGACTTTTTTTACTGTGACAGAATAGACTACCAAATTTACTGTTGCTGATGGTCAGCTGATCAGTCTTGTCCATGAAATCTTTAAAGACTTATTTTCTTTTTACTGCAATTAGCCAATATAAATGGAAATAGTTGAGGGAAATACTGATATGCTAATAGGTTATTAGCACAGGCAATTAGGTAAATGATAGTCAAAGCCAGTAGATTAAAGCAGTATGTTTGTTTTACTGCAGTTTGTCTCTGTAGTTTACTTGTATGGTCAAAAAATGTAAGAGATTCTTTCAAATGTCTATTCAGTGTACATGGCTTTAGCTACCATCTCTGAAGGTAGCTCTTCAGAGGAATTTGGTTGTGAAGAAATGGAGACTTTAAAGTCAGGGATGTTACAGGCCAATTTAGCCAGCCAATGCAGATGTCTAAAACTGAATGGTGAGGCATAGAGCCTAAAACTAAAGCTCTTAATCTTGTGCTTTGTATTAAGATTTGACTGTAGTAAGTGTGGGATACTTGGATTGTATCAATCAAATAGACTAAATAATGAATTAAACTTAAAAACAATCAGATCATCCTGCTAAAAGTTTTCAAAAATATTTACTTATTAAACAGTTAATGTGAATTATATATATTAATCATAGTATCAGCCTAGAGGAAAATGTTTATGATCAACTTTAAAACGTTGAAAATAGTAACAAAGAAAATAAGTAACCAGTGGTGTACACATAATACAAAGCGTATAGCACATGGTGAAGGATTTTTGTCTAAGTGAAAACAATCTGCAAGGAAACAATGTTTGTGTGATATTGCAGTCTCATGGGAGATCTTAGATGACAGCTCTAATAACAATTTTAATATGAAATAACTTTTTTTCTGTTAAAACAAAATACATACTGTTTTGGAGGGTGAAAGCAAATGTGCTTTAGGTGGCATAACAGGCAGTTATTGCAAGTGGCTGAACAGTGTAGCTCAGTGCAATCTTCTGTTAACCAGGTAGCTCACTTTTGGCATTGTATATTGCACTTCACTCTTAACCTTCAGGATATGTGAATAAAGGACATGCTTTGTCAATTTGGAGCCTGGGACCAAACTTGGGATACTTTGTCACTTCTGTACATGTGGGTGGCCTGAGACTTCACTCTGTTGTCTGTTCCTGCAAGCTGTAGGTTGCTGTCTCTGTTGTCACTGTAGAATTGATTCCAGTTGGCTGCTACAAGTGTTTGCTTTTGTCTTGTATCACATGATGTCCAAGATGCTGTTAATGGAATCTCTTTAGAATATCTTGCCATCTGCTGCACAGGACTGTATGTTAGCTGGTTTTTCCAAATTTGAGCATAGCCTAAATAAGACCATGGAAAATATTAAACAAAAGTTGAAGGGGGGAAAGTAATGGGACAGCTGAAAAGAATCACTGGCATTCCAATACACTCTTTAAATAAACACAAGCTGTTTCATGGTTAAACATGCACTGTACTTTTCCTGAGCTGCAGTTTTCTGTCTGTAGTGTACAGCATTTTGCCAGAGGATCATTCGTATTTTTGCCAAAATATTTACGGAAATAAAGGTGTTCTATATAATGCCACTGAAAATGCAGCCTGCCTTTATAGTACAATAGAGCCAGGAGCTCAGTCACAAGCAGAATACTAGAAATGTGAACTTTTCATTCCTACCATCCTATTTTTTTTAAATCTGAATATTTCACTGTGGAGGTTTTAGGGAACTGCTTCATAAGTGGATGTCTCAAGGGACAGGTGACATCATTTCCCTCTGAGCACTGTCCCTTTGATCCCAAGAGCAGGTTTGTCTTGTAACAGCTTAACAGTGATGTTTCTCTTTAGGGGAAAAACCAAACATCAGGTGAATCTGGAACCTGAGCTCTAAAAAAGGACATTTTCTTTGCTATGTATGATCTTTGTTTAAAAGCAAAGATATGAATCCAATTTGCCACTCTTCTCTTAGTCTTTTTATTATTTGTGGATTTAGAGGGTTTTTTGTAGTCCATAAGGCTGTCTTACTTCTCTGAGCTAAGTGATACAAGGAGCCTAAGAGGTATTCGCATGGGTAAAATTTGGCACCTGGTGTGATTAGTCAAAACTGAGCTAGGAATTCTCAGTTTCCCCCTGAACTCGGTGGAGATAATTTAAGGTCATTTTACAAATGATTCATTGAAGTTTTGTGTATCTCTTGACTTCTCTTTAATGGCTATAATTGACAAATTCAGGTGCCTGAAGTTTTTGAGTATTTTTCTCTCTCTGCTGTTCACAGACAGTGTTTATATGTTTGAGCCCCCAGCAGCTGAAATGATGAGGTGACTGCCACATCAGGCTTGTCACAAGAAAATGAGATAACTACTTCAGATTGTAAGATTAATGTTAGTCTTGTTTCCTTCATTCATGACAGGCAATCTAGAATTTTGATGTAGCTCATCTTGACATCAGCAACTTCATCTGCCTTTTATCTTTGTTTACCTTCATCTTTCTCTTCTGTGTTTGAACTACTGAATTTTTCTGTGTCTTTATGAAATGCTCAGCTGTCAGCACCACCACCATGAAAAGAAATTGAATAATTATAATTGTATCTACAGAATACTACTTCATAAGTGTTAATAGGACTTTATTCTTGTGGTATGAAAAAGTTTGCTTGTCTTATGTTCAGAGGGAAGAATGTTATTCCAGAGTGATACGGAGTGGGGCTAACAAAAAACTTGCGCCTTGTCCTTATTGGATGTTAGTCTTCAGAATTCTCTCCACCTCTGGTTTTTATTTTTTCAGGAGAAGCTGCTAGTGAAACTCCTAAAACCAAATTACATAAACTCATAGGAGTTCTCCATTAGGAACTTAGTACTCTGTGAATAATGGAACTTCAGTGATAGCCTTGGCTGGAAAATAGAAATTACTGAGGTATAGAATGATATTTACAAAAGATAAAGTTGTGTTAAAGGATAGTCCTTATTAATGCCCTTTTTACAAGGGCATGTAGCCATAGGACAATGGATAATGGTTTTAAACTGGGAGAGGGGATATTAGATTAGACATTAGGAGGAAATTCTTCATTGTGAGGGTGGTGAGACACTGGATAGAGTAATTTCTTATGGCTCTACTCTTTTTTTGCTCTTGCCAGGGATGTTTTATGCAAACCTCACAGCACACAGTACAAACATTTCTATTTCAGATAACTTAAATTATGTTCTCAGTTTTACTCCATTCTTATATATATATGGAAAGCATGATTATTAAGGAAAAACCTACAGATGTGTCATATACTATAGTAATCCTTATCTTTGAAGTGCTCAGATTGCTTTGTTTTTTCTACTCCAAAACCATCAGATATTCTGTCTTGGTTTTGCATTATGTAAGTCAACTGGAGGCAGTCTTTTATAAGCTGCTGTACCTACACTGACAAAATTCAAGTGGGCCTTTTTGGTTCCTTTATTCATCCATCTTGTTGTAATTAAAAAAAAAAAAAAGAAGAATCTGTATAGTAACAACATTTGTTGAAAGAGCAGTACCTCTTAACTAGGATGAAGTAAAGACTGCACCTAGAATTAAGTGGTTTCCTTTTGAACTTTAATTACCACTGATTTCAGAGGGTACTTAGAAAAAGGATTTTATAGGTAAGGTTCTGACATTTTTGAAAATTTATATAGATAAGCATGTGTTGTTTTTTTTTTTAAAAAGTCCTTCCATTGTGTTACTCTATTATGGAGAACTGAGTGTAAAACCATTATCTCATAATACATATTCATTAACATATAAAGATTTTTATTCACTTGCCACTTCAGTCTGTCTAGAGCTTGTACTCTTTTTCAGAAATCAAATCCAATCTTTGGCATCCAGCTGTCTTGATTTAAGAGCTTCTACTTGAAATATTAATTCAGAAACCCCCTTCAGTAGTCAATATATTCAACTTTATGGTGTTATGATAATGTAATATTGTCAGGATCAATTATATCTGAAATGATGTCACTTTAATTGCTATCAGATTAAAATAGCAATAATATCAAACTGCCATGATTATTAGTTACTCCCATCACATGTTCACAGGTGTAATAATGGGGCCTTCCATAATGACTGGATGCAGATGAAATATATGAAGAACTGGTAAGCAAATAGAAGAGCAACACTGTCCCATTAGACAATTTTTATATTAATGAAACTTAATACAGACACTTAAAATCATTGATGATGGAATCTATTTCTGGTGAATGAGCAGACAAATGACTTCTAACTTGAATCTTGTAGTAATTCTCACCATACTAATTGCCTTAAAGACTGTTTTTACACACTGAGAGACCCATCTTAAACTTGTTCTTAGTGAATGTGCACTTCACTTGGAGGTGAAACTACTTAATATATTAACTTTGACTACAATATTGTCTCTTCAAGACTATGGGAATACGTGAATATTTGTAAAAGGATTTTCCTCCTTTAAGTACCTTCCGTGTCACTCCTGTGCCCTGGGCTGCCTCCCGGCCCCCCTTCCCACGCAGAAGTCAGCTCTGCTTTGTACCACCCTGTCTCTAACCTTGAAGCTGACTTTGAACAGGGATGCGCTCGTTGGCTCTAAGCACAAGTCCAACCACCAGGTGGCCTTCAAAGAGCAGCAGTCGGCCTTTCCCTGGGAGCAGCTCCCGCACCGCTGCGGGCTGTTGCCTGGGCTCCTGGCCGGGATTATCAGATTGCTGTCCAATTTACCATGTGGTATCATCATGACTTGCAAGCGTGCACGAAAATTTTCAAGGATAAGTTTTAAAAGTTTCCTGCAGAAACTGGATATGGTGGGAAAGATAAAGCTCACCTCTACTCACCAACCTTTATTTTAGGGTTTCTTGCCTATAGTTGCTGCTATCATTCATTTACATGTTGACTGCTGCTGTTGATCCTGCCTAATCTTGTACAAGCTTATTCTCTGTTTTGTTAACTGAGCAGCCTTTTGAGAAATAAACACAAATTTTTGGAATAAAACAACAAAACATGACCTATGAAGATTGTGTTGTGGCCATTTTTAGAACTTGGATGTGCTGAGACTAGTTTCTTTAAATCCATCTTATTAAAATTTAAGGAAGTAAGTTGAATAACTTCTAAAATAACTAAAATTAAATAGATATCTGTAGCAACATATTATTCCAATACTAACAGTTACTAAAAGAGTAAAGAAGGGAAGTAACAGATATCAGTTTAATAAAGTATATGATCACTTTCACATGTGTCCTACTGCTGTCATATTTTAACTAATTGTCTATATAGTAGGTCAGTTACCATGTGTTGTGACAAATTCTTAAAAGTTATGCCATAGGAATAAGACATGTAGAAAATACTTACAAAATCTCACTGTGCCTGTTCCACCTGCAAGTGTCCTATCCAGGGAGCACTCCTAAATAACACTTTAATCTGTAGCTTTATCAGCTTGATTTTGTAGGACAACTTACCAATAAATGTTTCCTTGCTGTTGAGAGAGAAAGTTTCCTTTGGGGGAAAAAGCAATCCATCAGGCTCAGAAGGATGCCAAGTCAACTCATGTAACTCAGTGCTTGTTCTGTTGTCCTTATTTCAACCTATACTTTCCCCCTTTCCTATTCTTTTTAAGCTTCTAGAGCATGATGTTATAGTCATACAACAAACATCCTGAGACTGAGGTTAACATCCAGTTTTAATACATTTCTCCTAAACAGCATTATCTCAGGCACAAATTTAAACTTACACAAAATATTTAGAAAGTGGAAATTATGGACATTCCAGGCCAAAACCAAAATTCTAATACTAAAATAACTTTCAAGTTGAAGGATAAACAGATCTGCAGACAGGCTCTCTATTAACACCTTCAAGCCATTGTCAGGAGACCACATTTCTTTCTAACTTTCTTCAAAGGAAGCAAAGGAATACCTATGTTCACAAAACTAAGACTTTTGTATTTCTCAGCTATTCTGTGGAGAAGTGCTTATGTTAAACCAGGACTCAGTTTAGGACAAGTGTGTCATTGGTAGTTAATCAACACCATGGCTGTTAATGGTTATGGCCTTGTAAGTAGGTTTATAATGTTTTGTCCTTTCATTCCCACTGCAGTTGAACGTGTTCTGTTCCAGGAAAGCCACTTCTTTTTCTTCAGAAGTGGAGCAAAAAACAAGTGTTCAAGGAAATAAAATTGGTTTTCTGTAAAGCTTTAAAAATAAATTTTATTAAAGGGGGGTATTGTAGTCACACTATTTTATTCATTCTTAATTAAAATATAGCACTGCTGCTCTTAAGTGCTTGTGTGGGAGTAACAGCACAGGGCCGATGCCAATTAACGGAGATTCAAGTAGGCAGATGTAGTTTAACGTTTTTCTCATTTTGCTTAAGAGCACAACTTGACCTTAAAATCATTGCTACATCCAATTAATGTCATTAAGTTATCTCCAGTGCATTTTCTAAATATCAGTATTTTGTGGGAATGACAAAACAATTTGCTTTGATTAGAAAATCTGGTTTCTATCATAAGAACAAACTTGTGTTCCTTCAATGTATTTGGAGTTTGAACTTTTGAACAAAAATCAAAGTTCTTATTTACTAACTTAGAGCTTCGGGTTTTAGTCAAGAATATGTAGCTGCATTAGAAGGTACAAGTTACTAGTCCTAGTATCCACTGGTTGCTCTGACTCTTCTGGAGTCTGCAATGCATGCTTTTCTTTTTGTGTTTTTCCTAATATTTCAGTGTCACATCCTGTGATTTACAGCACTCTAGAACTTGAGATTCCTACTTCATTTCAGAAAGATTTTCTTTATATTTGAATGTAACAATTTTCACAAATTAAATCCTATGATAATATGTGGATGCTACAGAATTTGTTTTGCTGGTCACATTTCCTATGTGGCTTGCTGTAGTATTCAATGTAAATCCAAAAGAGAACTGTCTGAGGGTATGGCTGAACATTATGTAATGATGACTGCAAAAGTTAACAACGGGACGTTCTGCCAAGTACTGAGTCAGAGAAACACACATTCCTGTACTAAATGCCTATTGAGTTGATAGTTCAATTTAGTAAGTCTTTTTGTTTACTCTTTAATCCTCAGTGTCAGCTGGAAAGCTGAATGTTTTTCTCAAGTAGCCAATTCTAGGGAGTTGTTTTCTTTTTAACATTTAGTAGGTAAAAGTGAAATTAAATATTTTTGCAAGAAAATGTATTTTATAATCTTAATGTGTGTGTTGAGATTAGATATGTTTATATACACGTAAGAGGATGATCTATGATGCTGAATAGAAATAAAGTTTTCTGCTAAATGCTTCAGTTACTTCAAAATCCTTTGACTTGGCTACAAAAGAAGATACCCTACTCATTAAATGCATGGAATTAAGGAATTAAATGCAAGACATCATGTCTTCTAATTGTAGTTACAAAATGGGCTGACTTACTGCAAGTTTTCAGGCTCTTGCTATTGAGGCTGATTTGGAGAAGCTTCTTGGAACTTGACCATATATGTAAGACTGACTTGCTATTGAGTCATTCCTTCACCATGAGTGTTAGACATGGAAACGCGGACATGTTGGCAGTAGGAGGTGGAGCTAATGACATCTGCATCATCAAAAGTAAGGGGAAATCTAGAATTTAAAAGGTAGATAAAATGGTTTATTAAAGATTTTGTATTTATAGCAGACCTGTTACTTAGATCTTTCTAATCAATATATCCTGTGTAATCTCTCTGTGCTGAACCAGATACATTGCTTAATCTAGTAGCTGCCTTTTAGTATCTGTATTCTCACGATTAGCTCTTGCTGTTATTTATTTCTGCCTCAACATTCAGTTATGATTCCTCTCTATAGATCTTTTCTCCCATTTTGCACTTTTCCATCCAATCACATGAAGGTGGAAAAACTGGTTTCCCACATTGTCTTCCCTAAAGTTCTAAGCTGGATCTTCTACTTATTTAGCAAATATTCTGAACATGCTTTCTAATAAAACCAGTTTCAATTTTACTTTCTAAGATTAAAAAATAGCTAATAATTCCTAAACAGAATTATGCAGAGGATCCTCCTGTCCTCCACAGCTGTCATAATTATGCATTAATAGCCTTATTCTCTGTAACTGGTGATCTAGGTTCCTCCTACACTTTTTGAAGCCTTCTTAGGCTTCATTCTGTACAGCTTCAGTTGTCCATGTTTCATGAGAAGTGAAGTCAGATAAATAATTTGGAATATTCCACAGCTAAAATTTTCCATCAAAATGAATGTGACTGTGTCAGGAAAGAATCCAAGCATTTGGTGAAGTTTTCATTAAATTATACACTTGCTTATTGGCTACTTGCACTTTCAAAATAGCTATTCATAACAAACTCCTCTTGTATAAAGCAGCTGCTCAGGATTAATGTCACATCTAGATGGATGAGTGAAGTTCAACCTCAAATGTCAGAGAGCGCTTCCTTTTTAGAACAGAAATCTTTTGCAAGTGGTCAAAACAGCTCTGTCAGGTTAGGTGAAGAAAGAAAATCAGTAACTTGAATACTGTAGTGCTTTACCAGTGGCTTCTCTATTTTGAAATATAACTTGGTTAATGTGTTATTATGAGGACTAGATAGGAAGTACCTGCAATTAGTTGCAATAGCAAGAGTTGATCATTATCTGCACTACATGCTAAACTCCTTGTTCTGGCACTTAATCTGGCTCATTGGCAGTCATTGCCTGTTAATAAGTTTTTCAGGACTTCTAAGTTGTCCATTGGAAATTTTTTTTGAAGGCTGGTTAAGGCATGAAAGAATGCAGGCAGGGAAAAGCAGTGCCTGTCTTTGAGAAGGGCGAGAAAGCAGGTCCAATATTATAGACAATTCAAGTTGGGTTCTGCTCCTGTAAAAAGAAGTGTTATTCATAAATGACCAAAGTAGTTGGAAAAACCTGAAAAATGAGATGTTTGAGAGTCAGAATTAATTTGTCATAGGGAAATCCTATCAGTTTTGCTTAATTTCTGTCTGCCAGGGTGATAACAGGTCTTGTGGCTAGAGGGGAAGCAGTCGGACATACATCTTTACTTTGAGATTCTTGTTGCATCCGTTTAAGGTGGGTACTGTTTTGTAGAAGTATTTGGAGTTGGGTATCAATGTTAGGGTTTGGCAGGAATCAGTCTTGATTCAGATGTTACTTAATATTTTCATTAATGATCTGCGAGATGGGATAGAAGAGTTACTGAATTTGCATGAAGCTGGAGGACACTGTTTTATTCTAGGACAGGATGTGAATTGAAAATTATCTTTATTATCTGGGAGGCACTTGAGGGGGATAGGGAGTGTGGGACCAAGTTGCTCTAAGCCCCATTCAACCTAGCCTTAAACACTTCCAGGGATGGGGCATCCACAGCTTCCCTGGGCAAGCTTTTCCAGTGTCTCAGCACCCTCACAGTAAAGAATTTCTTTCTAATGAGTAACTTACTCTCATCTCTTCCCATTTAAAGCCATTACTCCTTGTCCTCTCATTACAAGCTCATGTAAAAAGTCCCTCCTCAGCTTTCCTGTAGCCCCATCAGGCACTGGAAAGCTGTTACAAAGTCTCCCTGGAGCCTTCTGTTCTCCATGCCTTTGTCATTTGATAATATTTTGTTCAATCCTGTCTGATTTTTGTTAGAAAAGCTGTTTTGTATGGAAATGCTTGTTTCTGGTGTATCTTAGGGCACTACATCTCTAGTGATGACTTACAAGCAACTTAACTCATGAGATTAGTGAAAAGTAAATTTAAGTTGGAGTGTT